TTTATTACCTGCACCGGGCTTCATTGTCCCTTAGGCCTGAAAGTGAACCCGCCGAAAATCAATAAAAGCCATCAATTATGCCAAGTCGCCATTTTGATTCGGAATAATTAGGAAAAAAAATCAATGTAAAATACGATTTAGTATCTGGAATTTTGTAAAAATATATATTTCTGCAAGAGCACCCGGTCACGGGTACGCACGACGGCGTCGATAAGGACGCCTCTGTTTGTTGTTATCCTCGGCGTACGTTGCCCCCAAGCGCATGAAATACATACAACATACACAAAACAAATACAACAAAATGCATGGATGAAAAAACAAGATTTTTTATATAGTATAAATAATTTATTAAAACCATATAGACACATTCATGATAACTGTTTTCGTACGTATAAAATTAGATATAGCTAGTACAAAGGGCGCGTATTCAAAATCCGCCATTACAGTTTGTGTTTACATTAAAAAGAATCAAATCCGGTCTAATAAAAAATACGAATCAATCTATACGAATTAAACTTAATTAATTAAATGAGTATTATTTATCGTCTATTCGTCCGATTCGGACGCCTCCTCTTCCTCTTCGTTCTCCTCCTCGGATTTGTCGGCCGGCTTGGGTGCGTTTTTGGCGGGTCGCCCCCTTCTGCCGGTGCCGGTCGCTCGGGCCCCCTTGGCTGCTTTCGGTTTGGCTTTCGTGGCGTTACCTTTTGGTCGTCCTCTGCCTCGTTTCGCCGGGCTCTTGCCGCCATCGTCTCCTGAATCCTTGACGCCGCCGTTTTTCATCTCGCGGTGCGTTTGCCGGGCCGGCCGCGCTTCTTGGTCTCCACAACTTCGGTCTCGACGTCAGACATGGTAGTAATAGACACAGGTGAACTTTAACTTTTAAACTTTTAGTTTAACTGGCACTGGTTTTGTTTTAGAACGAACAAGTGTTGTATTGTTATTACGACGTTTGTTGTGTTGTGTGTTCTACACTGTACGGTTTACTCTTTGCGCGCGGCTTTCGGCTTATGACGCCAGACGCGAGAAGCGAGCTCAGACAAATATGCTAGAGCGGGTCCTGACCAATCACAGAGCACTACGCACTTCGCGCTCAAACCCTTCGGCGTAGATCGGCGGCGGTCGGGCGACTTCGGGGACGAGGCCGACTACGGCGACAGGGACGGCAACGGGCAACGATTAATAATTGCGGCAAGGGAGCATTATTTGGCGAATGCGTTTTTTGAATTTTTAAAAGCGCATTCTTTCAACCGTCATGTCTGCCCGATATTTATGTAAATAAAACACAACACACTCTCATGCGCGTACATGCATATATACATGCAAGGGAACGCGTATTATAAATATATATGCATATATACATGTATATATGTTTGTATTGCTTTTAACGAAAATTTTTCTATTTTATATTCTAATTAATATTTTACATTTTGTTATTTTTTGGCTTTCCATTGTTCAAATATTATAACTAAGTTTCAGTGACTTTTTTTTGCAAAATCTTTCTGATACTTGTACAAAATCAATCAACAATTGAGCTTAGAACATGCACGCATAGACTTCATAATGTATGCTATATAAAGTCTATGTATGCATGACTTATGTTTTAAAAAAAGACTCGGCTCTATTTTAATTAATTTTTTGTTATTTTTAAACAAATTTTATAACTAATTTTAATTTTAAGTGGCTTTTTTCTTAGAAAAACTTTCAGTTTTTTGTGAAAAATCAATATAACTTAATCAATAACAATTGAGCTTAGGACATATACGCATAGACCTTATAATACATGTGTTATGAAGTCTATGCATGCATGGCTGATGTTTTAAAAAAGACTCGGCTCTATTTGAATTTATTTTTTGGATTTTTATTGTTCAAATTTTATAACTAGTTTTAAGTGGCTTTTTGTCTTGCAAAAACATTCAGATATTTGTGAAAAATCATTATAACTTAATAACAATTAAGCTTAGGACATACACACATAGACTATTTCTAAAGACTATTTTTTAAAGTACACCGTAGGGTCCTATAATATTTGACAACTTTATACATTATTTGATTTTGTACAAATTTGTCAAATATTCTATAAATATTAGATAAACCGTTCAAAAGTTATGAATTGTGGAATAAAACTAGTGGGGCGCATGGCATCGTGCCTTAAGGCAAATTGCTGGAACTTCCCGCACCAAAAATATTTTTTTTTAAAGAAGATTAACATTTTTGAAAAAAATTTACTCTGAAAAAGTTAGATTTTTGAGATACTATAAATTTTTGACATAAATTTACTTTTTTTTGAAAAAAAAAAAAACTTTTTGGTGAAAAATTTATTTTGGAATATTTTGGAAATTCTGAACTTTTTTTCAAAGCAATCGTACTGCACACTGTATAGTCACAAAAACAGGAACTGCTAGACCTGCCTTTGCGAAAAACTAATCAGCACGTCTTCTTATCAATACGAATCGAATGTTTTTTGAATTATTCAAATCGTCTCAACCGTGTTCCCGAAATCGTCGACGAAAATTTGTATCCGCACACACACACATACACGCACACACGCACACACACACATACACATACACATACACACACACATACATCCATTTTTTCTAAGGTATGCCAAAATGTTCAGAAACCTCTGAAACGTAAAGGTATATAAAAATTTTCATTTTCGATTTTTTTGCGATTACTATAACTTACCCTACGGTTAAGTTAATTATTTAAAAAATGAGACTTGTAAAAATATATTAGAAAAAAATGTATATACAAATTGTTTATAAAATTAAGAAATTAAAAAAAATGTTAAAGAAATTATATATAACAATTGAGCAATTTAAAAATGTGATAGCAAAAAGAACCAAATAAAAATTGTTCATAAAATTGAGGCTTGTAAAAATGTATCAGAAAATAAATTCATGTAAAATTATTTAGAAAATTAGGACGAAAAAATAAGTTTAAAATAAATTTATATAAAAATTGCTTTACAAATAGAGATTTGTAAAAATATGTTGAAAAAAATTTTATATATAAAATATTCAGAAATCGAGACATTTAAAAATGTGTGAGAAAATTGAGGTCGTAAAATTATTTAATAGCGATAAAATGAAAGAAAGTTAAAAAAGTTAAAAAAATTGAGACTTTTACAAAATATTCAGACTTTTAATTAAAAAATTTTCAAAAAAGACATTTAAATATATGATAAAGAAAATTTTTGTATAAAATTATTTTAAAATTGAGACTAAAATATTACTTTGCTTTTTTAAAAAATCTTTTTGTTATATTATTAATTTTATAAATATTTCTAAATATGTACAAGTAGATAATTCTTATGAAAATATATGATAAAAGGTATAAGAAATACTTAATAAAAATTATTAACAAAAAGATCAGAGAAGATTACAAATGAAGATGTGCTGCAAAGTGTCTCTGAAGAAAAAGACTCCAATGGAAAGGATCATAAAAAGAAAAGGAAAGTGGGTAATAAAGTATTTCCTGAACAATTTTACCAAAAAAAATAAAAAAATTAATAAAATGCAATGCAAAAGAACAGAATGTGCTCTCATTCATACAAAATACAAACAATTTCATTTATTTTTTTGAATTCTGAACTTAATATTTCATCCAAATTTCTCATGACTTATTGATTACCATTGATAAGGAGCAAAGAGAGAAGGGCAAAAGGAGCCTCCGTACCAAGGGGGCACTTCCACAGTGTACCGGTCAGATATGCTATAATATAAATTCTTTTTTAATTCGCATCTTCTGGTTTTCATATAGCTTGTGAATACCTGTTTTGTTGTTTACGAATATTGTATATGAATATTGAGTCGACTTGCGAACAGGTTCTGTTGCACTAGACAGATAAAAATGACATATAGAATAATAGAGCGGGAGATTAGAAAAGTAAACAGAAAGGAGTAAAGGAGTAAAGGACTGAAATGACAATACTTCCTAATAGAGTATTTTAGAGTAAAAAATCGAGGTTATAACTATAATATGTTATAAATATATGTATGATTTGATTTTAATTACTTACGTTTAGTGTATGAATTTACTTCATGTACAATATTTAAGATAAACATTCTTATCTTGTTTTTGTTGTTTGCTAACACATACATGTTATTTCTATCGTTAAAACTTATACTTTCGATTAAGTATTAAACATTCTAATAATTCAACAATAATAAAACGTTATTATACAACAATTAATTAAATTTTACATTTTGACATTTCATATTTAACGTGTGAAGTTGTTCAATGTCTATTTCTTGCAAAAAAGCCCAAAATCAGTTAAAAGTGTTGCCTAATGCGTTCCATACATATCGCGTTTTCCCTCTAACATACGGCGCGAAAAAGAGATGGGTGATACAAACTGAGCAATGAACGGAATTTACGAATGCATATGAAGTTGCACCTAGTTGAAACAACCTAAAATTAGCTAAAAATGTTGCCTAATGCGATTTGTATACATCGCGTTCTCCCTCTAACATATGATGTCAAAACGAGATGGATAATACAAACCGAGCAACTAACGGAATTCAATTTATGCAAGTTCATGGCATAATGAAGCCTGATATATTTTTTCCATTTAAACGTAATAATTTTCCTTTTTACCTTTTCTACATTAGTGTATCTTTTTCAACCCGACTTTATTTTTATTATGCGTCACAAGTTGCAACTGTGCTTTAGTGCAATGATGGGGGTCGTACAAGTACCGTCACCCGAATCACGAATGTGTGAAACTAAAACATTTGGCGAACAGATGCACACAGTGGATCGAAAACAGGGATGTAAAACCCAAAGAAAATGATGGCTAAGGTATTTTTTTTAAATATTTCTTTTATGTAATTATTTTGTGACTGTGTTTATAATGCACTTATATATTTATTATTTAACGATTCGATAGTTCAAATAATATATGGATTTTAAAGATAATATGACCTATAAAGCATTAAAATAAATTTAAGTTTATCTTATGAAACTATTTTTGAAAAATGAATTTTATTTACTTAACAAAAAGGAGCAATAATGTACATTTAAACATTATGAATTACTCAAGTATTAAACTGATAATTTTTCATTTAAATTTTATTGCAAACTGTAAAAAAATTGACAAAATGGCGGACATGAAAATTGCGAAATTGTTAATATTTTATTTATATTTATTCCTATATCTATTGTAATTTTCGTGCAAAAACATGAAATATATTATTATTATATGTTAGGTTGAAGACAAGGATGTAGAATGTTTATTTTTTAATTTAAATTTCAATGAAACCTGTCATTTTTTTCCATAAAATGGCGGAAAAACAGAAATTGCCAAAATGTTTATATTTTATTTATATTTACTCTTATATTTGTTGTAATTTTTATGCAAAAACACGAAATATATTATTATAATATGTTAGATTGAAGACAAGGATTTTGATTGTTTATTTTTCAATTTAAATTTTATTGCAAACTGTCAAAAAAATTGACAAAATGGCGGACATGGAAATTGCCAAATTGTTAATATTTTATTTATATTTATTCCTATATCTATTGTAATTTTTATATAAAAACATGAAATATATTATTATTATTTGTTAGGTTGAAGACAAGAATGTAGAATGTTTATTTTTTAATTTAAATTTTAATGAAACATGTCAATTTTTTTCCATAAAATGGCGGAAAAACAGATATTGCCAAAATGTTTATATTTTATTTATATTTATTCCTATATCTGTTGTAATTTTTGTGCAAAAACATAAATTATATTATTTTTTTATGTTAGGTTGAAGACAAGGACTTGAATGTTTATTTTTCAATTTTAATTTTATTGAAGACTGTCAAATTTTTTACATAAAATGGCGGATAAACAGAAATTGCCAGAATGCTTATATTTTATTTATGTTTATTCCAATATTTGTTATAACTTTTGTGCAAAAACATGATATATATTATGATTATATGTTAGATTGACATGGATGAATCCTGAAAACAAGGATTTTGAATTTTTATTTTTTTATTTAAATTTTATTGAAAACTGTCAATTTTTTTTCCAAAAAATGGCGGCAAAATGGAAATTGCCAAAATAATTATATTTGATTTA